ACAAAGAGTTAATTCTTATTATTAATGTATAGATTCCTTAAACAACATAGAAAATAGTAGTTCATTACTTTACAAAAGGTATACTATGTGTATTCTTTTAAAAAATCAAGAGAGTCTATCTCTGGGAAAATCAGAATAAAAAAATAGCAAACACACACTATTAAATGATCCTCCCAGAAACTTTGGCCAAGATAATGTTGCTCTATAAAATATTTGACTTCTAGACAGAAAAGAACAATTTAGAATTTGTTGTTGTTGTTGTTGTTATGTGCTATTGAGTCAGCTCCAACCCATAGCGAACCTCTGCACAACAGAATGAAACCGCATGATCCTGTGTCATCCTAAGAAGTACTCTTATGCCTGAGTCCACTGGTACAGCCACTGTGTCAATCCATGAGGTCCAGGGCCTTCCTCTTTTCCACCACTCTCCACTTTACCAAACATGACGTCCTCCAGAGGCTGGTCTCTTCTGACAATATGCCCCACGTACGTAAGAAAAAGTCTTGTTATCCTTGCCTCTAAGGAGCAATCTGGCCTTACTTCTTCCAATACAGATCAAGTTGTCCTTTTAGCAGTCCACCATACTTTCAATATTCTTCTGCAGAACCACAATTCAAATGCCTTATTATATGGTCTTCCTTATTTAATGTCCAACTTTCACATGTATGTGATGCAATGGAGAATACCATGGCTTGGGTCAGGTGCACCTTAGTCCTCAAAATAACATCCTTGCTCTCCAACACTCCAAAAAGGTCTTGTGCAGATTTACCTAATGCAATAAGTCTTTTGATCAAGTCTTGACTGCTGCTTCTGGGAGCACTGATTGTAGATCCACGTAAGAAAATACTTTTGACCACTTCAAACTTTTCTCCATTTATCATGATTTTACCTATTGGTCTAGTTGGAAGAACTTTGGTCTTCCATACATTGACTTGTAATCCACATTGAAGACCAGAATCCTTGATCTTCATCAGCTTCAAGTCCGCCTCACATTCAGTAAGCACGGTTGTGTCATCTGCATACCGCAG